TCCCTGGTTCCGACATTATAAAGCCCCACTAAAAATGCCTCATTATAATTGATGCTCACTGATAATACACCTTTTTTAAAAAAATGCAAAGAGTACCTCCAGAAGGAGTCTTTGCGTTACACAAGCCTGCTAGAAGAGAGACACATATCAAAGACAGATAGCTAAGATGAAGTAGGACAGGCTAAATGTATTTTCACAAGTACCCTTGAGATGGACTTGATGCAGATTCTGACTTTATTAGGTGGCTTGGGGGTCAGGAAAATGCGCCAAGAATCGATATAGAAATAGGAATATTGCCCAGATTGTGTGATTGTGAAGGGGGCTCTGATAGTACTGTCACCAATAATGGGAAGATGAGAATTCCAAATGAAAAAATTTATTTTACTAAGGAAAACAAGATGTCACGATGCAGAAAGCCTGTGACAACTTATCCGCCAGTTAGGACAGAACAAAAGCCTCTTGAATCATTAAGTCACTACCTGACTATGTAGCCCCAGGACCAGCGTCTCTCAGTTCTTCTAAGACTAAAACTTCTAGGCCAGTTGATTCCACTTCTCTTTGAATAGAAAAAATCTTCTCTCCTGGCTTCTTGGACAGAGGCACCCACACTAAAACGCTCCACAGTAAAAGGACATTCGGGAGGTCAAAGTGCTGGAGTGAAGCTTCATGGTTTTTAAGCAAACTCTACTTTCTGCTGGCTGACTCTGAGGAAGGAGAAAATGGAATAGACAAACAAAGCCTGAGGTGAGGGGTGTCGGGGAACTCTCGGTGTGGTGGAATATCATTAAGGTGTATTTACAAGCCAGGAAATTGAGGAAGAAACTTTACTAATTATACTTCAACGTTGTTTCTTTGAATCTCTATTCAGAGACAGCTGGGGTGATTTCACAGGAAGGGAGAAGGAAACAGTTTTTCATGGGTGGTAGAGCTACTGTTAAGGAAGTTTTAATGAGGCGCTCTGGGCATGGTCTTCTTAGCACAACTAAAATGGCTCTGGAGGTGGTGGGGTCAGGTGACATTAATATGGGGAAACGCTTGATTCCATTCTATTTGCTTCAGATTCCTCTCTAAATATTAATTGCCTGAATTTCCCTGGTAAAATGAAAAGGATAAGCATATGCAAATTTTTCATTTGGCTGTTATATTACATTGGCCTGTATTCCTTCCAGATGTGGTCCGTACAGGTGATGTATTCTAGCACACATCCCCACGTGCAGGTGAGGAGTAGAGCCTCCTGCACTGTCCTTGGGATGAGTTATGACTGCCTTATGTTGAGGACTCATTATGTGCTGCGCCTTGGACTGAGCTCTTTATAAACCTTATCTCCTCCTGGGTCCCACACCACTCTTTATTATCTCAATAAGGAGTTTTCCTACCACTACCACCTACCTTAACTCTGCCCCTAAAAGCAATGGCTCATCACTCTGCACTGTACTTCTGTGTTATTCCCCAAAATATAATTCTACCCCTTGCCTCCCCCTGCCCCCATCCCTGTGCCTCAGTTAGGATGACTGTACTTCAGTGACAGAACTCAATCCGAGTTCCTGTTTCTGGCATCTGCCTAGGTCCCCAAGGTCCTGGGGACTCACCCTGCCATAGCCCCAACCCAATAGGTTGAGCCTGTCCCTTGGGAAGAGAACCTTGACCCTGTCTGCCAACCGGGGGGCTCTGGGTGCCTGCTTCCCTTGTTTTCCTTTTCCTGTGCTCTGCTCCTATATTGGGACACTTTCCTTCAATGAGTTCAAGTAGGGAAAAGCGTCTAGCACCATGCCTGACACAGAGGGCACTAAACAAATGCTAGAATCCCCTTACTCAGCTAGGCCCCCAAGTCCCTGACTGGGAGTGGCCACATTCCTTGGACACCAGGCCTCGACCACTTATCAGAACCTCTTCTAGCTATACCCCCCATGCTTCCATCTCCTCCAGTTCATTGATTTTGGGCTCAACCGTGCCCTTCACACCATCCGTATCACAGCTGGGAGTTCTGGTGAATTTGATCAGAGGTCTTCCGTGAACACCTTGAAACAAAGGCCAGAAGATCCCAGAACAATTTCGCACTAAAATTCTCTTTTGTTCAACAAATATATATTGATGATTCAGGCTCTGGGCCTCCATGGTCCCAGCCTAGGTTGGATGCTGGTAATAACGAGGTGAAAAAGCAGGTCTAGCCTTGCCTCTCCTGTTACCTCTTGCCTCCCTCATTCCTGGAAGCCACAATCCCTACCCAAGGTGCACCCTCTGCTCTGCAGTCTCACCCTCTGCCCCTTTAGCCAGTCCGGCTTCCCCCCCATCCCAAGTGCCTTTTCAGGTCCTCTGTCCTACGTGCACACAAGTGAAGAGAGTGTCTTCTCTCCTCCACTGAACCAGCAGTAGGATGACATCCTTTTGGAACTCTACTACTGCTTCCCAAACAGCCTTCTAAAGTCCTCAGGTGAGACATTGTTTATTATTCATTTATTAATTAGTCAGTTCATTCACCGATCAATTACACATTGTACCCTGCCTAGAGACCACATAGCATAGGGTTAGAGCATGGACTCTGGAGTGAGACTGGGTTTAAAGCCTGGCTCTGCCACTTACTCACTGGGAAACCTTGGGAATGTTGCTTTTCTTCTCTGTGCATCCGTTTCCTCATCTATAAACTATGAGAGAGTACTTGACAGGGTTATGATGAGAACTAAGTGAGTTGGAACAGCACTTTCCACAGAGATATTCTCAATGAGTCTTAGCTACCACCGCCATTGAGTGCCAGCACTGGGCTAGGAGCTGGGAGGCGGTGGTGAACAGTACCGATAGTCAAACAAGCCAGTATAGGAAAGGAGGAGGATTGTAGTAGACAAGTACCAGGTGCTTGAGTGCGTAGTGGGAGCGTCGCCTGGAGGGCTTGTTAAACACAGATAGCCAGACCCTACTGTATGTTTCCTATCGCTGCTGTAACAAATTATCGCAAACGTAGTGGTTTAAAACAACTCAAATGTATTATAGTTGTGAAATGCAGACGTCCAAAATGGGTATGTCTGCGAAAAAAATCAAGTTTTCAGCAGGGCTGAGTTCCTTTCTGGAGGTTCTTGGGGAGAATAGCTTTCTTGTCTTTTCTAGCTTCTGGAGGCTGTGCACATTCCTTGGCTGGTGTCCCCTCTTCATCTTCAAAGCCAGCAATGGCTAGTCAAGTCTTTCTCATGATGATAGCTCTCTGGTTCTGACTCTTCTATCTCCTTCCGCATTTAAGGACTCTTGTGATTACCCTGGGCCTACCTGGATAATCCAGGACAACCTCTTTATTTTAAAATCAGATGACGGGAAATCTTAATTCCATCTGCAGCTTCAATTCCCCTTTGCCATATAATGTAAGATATTCAGAGGTTCTGTGGATTAGGATGTGGGCATCTTTGGGGAGGGCCAACATTCTGCCTATCACGCCTGTTCTCAGAGTTTTTGATTCATTAGGTCTATGATGGGGCCCAAGAATTTGCATTTCTAACAAGCTCTCAGATGCTTCTTTTGCTAATGATCCAGGAGCCACTTTGAGAACAGCTGGTTTAGAGACTCTGGTCATTCACATCTTCATCCGTTCAACAGATTTTTTGGATCTCTAACTGTGAGCCCAACCCTATCCCAGATGCTGATAATGGTGCCTGCCAATAAAAACAATTTAAAAAGGAAAGAAAAGAAAAAAGCCCATAACCTAGCAAGGGGGGGGCCAACAATTTCAGTGTGGGGTGATGTATAGTCTAATAGAGCTATGTGCAAAATGCTAAGCCTTCCCAGAGAACAGCAACTAACAGGGGCCAGGGTGGGCTTCATAGAGGAGGTGACATGCAAACTGGCTAGGAACGAATAAAGAGGAGATTTTCAGAAAGTTAAGGAGGGAAACATTATTGCAGGTATTGGGGAACAGCATATGAAAAAGAGCATGACATGTTTAGGGCATGGGGAGTAGTTCTCTGCAGGTGGAGTGGATAGTGCATTGCAGTGGGAGAAGAGTTGGAATAGGCCATAGTGGGGAGTGCAGTGGACCTGTTTAAGTTACCTGCCCAGCCCACACTGTCTTCATTGAGAACATTCCTCTCTACTCCTCCAAAGATATGAACCTCAGGCTGGCATGTTTTGTCCACATGATCTTTCTTGACCCATGAGCTAAGCCAATCACAGTTCCTTTCTCATGAATGTATTCTAAGAGATATGAAGGTTAGGTAGACTTGAATTAAGAGTGTCTGTTGGGGTGGGGGGGGTCATGTGTATTGATAAACATGTGGGAGGGTAGTGAGGAGATGGAGGGGGGGCTGCAGGAGAATGGGGCAAAGTCACTGAAAGAAGAGATGAGATACTGAAGGTAGTGAGAGAGGAGCCTGCAAACGTGGGACACTGTCCACGACAGCTCCCCTGATGCCTGGCTCTACTTCTTGTCTCACGAATATTTCTTTGTTTCTTTATTCTTTCGTTTGCCTGTTTCTTTTTTTTTTAATTTTTTAAAACTTAAATTTGATATTTGAGACATTATTGTCTTTTAAAGAGAGCAGTTCCATCAAAGTGGAGATAGTGGTAATAAGGTGAGGTCATCTTGGTTGAGAAGTGACTGGTTGCTAAGGAAGTAGGCAAAACAAGTGACAGCTACCCTCTCTAGAAGTTTGGATGTGAAGGAAAAGACACATTTGGGCAGAAGCTTAAGGATGAAGACAGAGTAGACTGATTATAAAACTGACCCTCATTCTTCATCCCTCCCTGAAACCACACCTTTTGTGATGTGACTTTGCAGCTCTTCCAATCAAGTCTATCTATTTCCTTGCTCCTGGGCTGGCCTGCGGTTTGCTTTTGCCCATAAAGTGAGGCAGAAGTGATATTGTGCTAGTTCTAGAGACCTGTTTACTTCTTTTCTCTCTGTCTTAAAGTCCTGCCAGGACACCATGAGACCAAGTTTGTGCTAACTTGCTAACTTGCTGGATAAGTGATCAGTGACCCAGTCACCACTTCCCCATAACTAATAACCTGCTAATTTCCAGGCATGTGAGTGAGATCATCCTTGACCAGCCTGCCCCCACCAGCCCACCTGCAGACTGCACACTCGTGAGGATATGCAGCCAGTATTTCAGGCCCAGCTAAAGCCAGCCTGGCCCAGACTAATAGAATTGCCCAGATGACTCATCAATTTGTGAGTAAAAAAAATGCTTACTTTTTAAGTCACTGTTGTAGGGTGCTTTGTTACACATCCATAGGTAACTAACTGGTTCAAGAATTTATGGGGGGCTTCCCTGGTGGCACAGTGGTTGGGAGTCCGCCTGCCAATGCAGGGGACACGGGTTCGAGCCCTGGTCCGGGAAGATCCCACATGCCGCAGAGCAACTGGGCCCGTGTGCCACAAATGCTGAGCCTGCACTCTAGAGCCCACGAGCCACAACTACTGAGCCCTCATGCCACAACTACTGAAGGCCACGTGCCTAGAGCCCACGCTCCACAACGGGAGAGGCCACCGCAATGAGAAGCCCGCGCACCGCAACGAAGAGTGGCCCCCGCTCGCCGCAACTAGAGAAAGCCCGTGTGCAGCAACGAAGACCCAATGCAGCCAAAAATAAATAAATTAAATAAAATAAATTAATTTAAAAAAAAAGAGTTTATGGGAAGGTTTTCATTATCTTGCTTTGGCAGGGAGGAGATTTGAGCATATCTGTGTTGCAGGGGGCGGGAAAGACAGCCTTAAGATTCAAGAAAGGGGGAGGAAGTGATGAGAGAAGGGGATGTGACCAAAAACTCAGGTGGAAGGTTAGCCTGGGAACACGCAGAGAGCCTCCTTTCCTTTCGAGAGAAGAAAAAGAAGTAGGGCTAGAGGAGGATTGTCCTGGACTAAGATTCAGTGCCTCTCTGGGACTTCAGCCCTAAACAGTGAGCTGGGTGGTAGCTTCTCCAGCTGCATCTCTGGACATGCTCACATTTAACATCCAACCAAAAATTAACACCTCAAACTCGTGCATTTCCACATCTGTCAAAGCTAAAAGGGGCATCTGAGACAGATTGCCTTTTGTTTTCACGGGCGTGTCAAATGCCGCAGTGACAGCAAAGGAATAATCTTCAGTTTGTGTATAATGAGGTCTGAAATTTCCATCTCCACACATTGATCATGAATCTTATTTCACTAGATAAACTGACAGCAGAGTCTCAGGTACTTAAACAAAATTTTGAAAAAAAAAATCAACACAACCACCCACATCTATGGGTTTTTTCCTACTATCACTTTTATGGTTCAGTTATTTTGTCTAGATGCACTCGTTTCCAGTTTTTTCTGGATTCCTCAACAGCCAGATCATTCCTTAATTCTAGATATATACTCCTCTATCCTGAAAGATGATTTAGTGGAAAGACAACTGGTTTGGGAGGCAGAAGAACTGAGTTCTAGCCTTGATTCTGCTAAGTCACGTAACCTCGGTTTTCTTATTTGAAAAATGTGTTCCTCCAGCAAATATTGATGGAGTACTTACTTACCATGTGCTAGGCACTGTTTAAGTACTTAGGATAGCTTAGTAAAAAAATGAAACAAACAAACAAACAAACGAAAAAAGACCCCTGACCTCAGGAAGCTACATTCTGGAGAAACGTCAGACAATGAAAACACATGCAATAAACAGGATAATTCTATCATACGATAGACGGTAAATAGTGTTATGGAAAAAAATTATAGATCAAGTAGGAGCGGAAGCAGGTTGCAGGTCAGGGGAGACCCCTGAGGAGGGGCTGGAAGGGGGTGAAGGAGTTACCACAAGAGTATCTGGAGGAAGAACATTCCAGGCAAAGTCCCTCAGAGTATCTCCTCAGTCTTTTCCCCCATACTCCGTTTCTCTTTGCTGGCCTTGGAGAAGGTTTACAATGCAGACAACCTCGAGGCCAGGCTTCCTTACCATTCCACACATTTCTTTAAACAGCCAACAAATGGCCAACTGTTCCCTTTGAGCGAGCCCCATGGGCATTAGGTGCAAGAGTCTGTTGTCTTGCATTTACTTTCAGGGACCTCTGTGTGTGATTTTCCTGCCATCCAAAAGGCTAGATCTGTATTATGCCAAACATCACATGGGTATTTCCTTCCTGCTGTGCACAGGGCAGTTAGAGCTGGCAAATGTATTTTATTTTTTCTTTTTAAAAAGACATGATTCTTTTTTTTTATATAATTACTGAAAATTTTTAATATTTCTGTCATTTCACAAAACATCTTTTGTTGACATTCTACGAATGATACCATCCAATAATGTCCCAATACTTTCTTCTTATGAAGACAGTTTATATATCTTTTTGACTTCCGTAATATTTGTTATTTCAGGGAGACTGATAAGGTAACTACCATTTCTGAGTACCTCTTATGTGCCAGGTACCTTACATTCTTTATTTCCCCTAATCCTTCCAACACCCCCGCCTCTGTCTGAGATAAGCATTTTCCCACTTTACAGATAAGGAATCAGAGGTTCAGAGAATTTAGGAAACTTACCTATAGTCACATTGCTAGTAAGTTTTATAGCCACAATTAGATTCCCAAGTGCATGTTCTTTCCACTATACCACACTTCTTTTCCTCCTAGGTACCCTTTGATCTAGCTAGAAAACCTGATGTACATATGAGACATCTAGAGAGTCATTTTAAGGCATATGGCATGGTGGTTAAGGTCTTGGGCTCTGCAGTCAGACAGGCTGAGGTCACTTTTAGTTCTGCCACATCATAATTGTGTGATTGTGGGCAAAGTGACTTAACTTTTCTGAGCTTCCTTTTTTTTTAATTTATAAAATATGTATAAGTACCCATCTCATAAAGTTTTGGGGAGGATTCAGTGAAATCATTCATATAAAGTGCATGGCACAGTGTCTCTTACATAACTGCTCATACATGTTAACAATTAGTCTCATATATTGCTGATGAAATTTTTAAAAGCATATGTACCTTTATGTATCAAGCTATCTCTGGAAGGCTCAGAAGGAGGCAGAAGGAACTGGCCGCACAGCGCCTCTGAGATGGGAACTGGGGAGCTGGAATAAAAAGACTTAATTTTTCATCTGATTATTTGTACACTCTATATATGTTTAAATGTTGGGCCACATGATATTATTTATTCAAGGAAATAATTAGTTAGTTTTTAAATGCTCTGATTATCATTGTAAGGAATTTGGGATAAAGAAGCCATCGGTGGGGTAGACTGATTTGGAAGAGGTTTCTCGGAGGAGATGAATTGAGCAGGGCCTTGAAGCAGGTACAGAATTTTGATGACAGAATAAAGAACTGGGAGGCATTCTAAGTGAAAGTTTCTTGCAAAGTAAGCCAAAGGCAGGAGTGAGTAGCCAGTGGGTGCCGTCCACTCAATGATAATTGTTTGGTGTTGTGGTAACAACTAATCCAGGTGGTAGAGAATGGTTTTCAAATGCCTAGAGTGGAAAAGAGAGAGTGTAAGTGAAACATTGCCCAAACACCACCTCACACGCAAAAATTAAGAAAGACTGCTGGTTGAGGACGATGCCATGAGCCCTGCTGACAGAATTATTCTGGTTCATCAATCCAAATTGAGCTGGAAGAACCTTTGACATCCCCCTTTCTCTGCCTGCAGGTCAGCTGGCTCCAATCCTGAGGTCATCACTCATCAAGAGGGGATAATCCCAAGGACAGCAGGATCGGCTTCGTCACTTGGATTTAGGAGCGAGAAACCCATCAGGCAACTAAACAGTAACAATGACCCACCATTAAACACACAGAGAGAAGAGCACGACAAGGAGTTTGTACAAGAAGAAGCCAGGAGCACTCGCTGACAGCGCCTACTGAGACGCTGACCACTGTGAGCTCTGCCCACTGAACTGCAGTACAAAATCGCCCTCTCCCCAGAGTCACTTAGACGTGCACACAACATCAGTTCAGACAATGGGCTCTGCACAGACTTAACAGAGTGAAAAGAATTTGGGGGTCAGATGGACCTGGGTTTGACTTGTTACACTGCCACTTTTCTGTAGAATGCTTTGGTCACATTTTCAAATGTCTCTGAGCCTCAGTTTCCTTGTCTGCAAAATGGAGCTAATACCTACTCTGAGGCTTTTAAGAGGATCAAATTCAACAGTGTCTTAAAAGCACAAGCTACACAGGTACTTCTCTTTACGGAAAAAGAGCAAGATGGGGACCAAAAAGGGAACCAATACAAAGAGAGCTGTTTGAAAAATTATCCTTTGTTGCAGGCACTCAGACTCAGTAGGTATGCTTATTTCTTTAGCTCGGATACCAGGGGGAAAAGACGGAGAGAGAAATGGGGAAAGGCAGGAAGCCAGAATCTCCCTCTTGTATGAGAAGATTCACTCGAACTAATTTTCAGACAATGTCACTCTCCTTTCTCAAACACTGGGACCACAGGGCATTATGCCAAAGAAGTCAGCAGCCTGGCAGATATTTTAAACTGATTCTGAGACCGAACAACAGGCCATTTGCGCCATATGCCACTGACATGTTAATCTAGGCAAAGATACTAGGCACCTGGGGACATCCATGCTGAAATGCCACTTAGGCAGGGCACAGCAACTCCAACGACAGAAGTTCAACAAGGCAAATGGCGAGGGCGGCCGAGAAGATACAAGTGGAAAGGAGGAGTGAACGGGAGATAGTGTTTAATCCTTGAAAGATTTTCTGAGTTGTAGACACTTCATTATGCTTCTAGGAGAGCTGCGGATTTAACAAACATCAAAACTGTGTATTTACAGGCTGGACAAATGAGTGTCTACCACTTTTGCACCCATTATACTATGTGACCGCCAGCCCCATGACCCTTGTATCCATTGGCAAATACTGGGCGATGCTCCAGTCCATCAGAATGACCTCCTTTATCCCTGCGGTTTCATTGTAAAAAGCAAGTAGCTGCCGAGTGCCTCTAGCAGATGCCCCAGTGTCAGACTTTCCAGGGTCCAATTTGGTCGGAGCACTCTGGGCCTTTGGTCTCCCTCTCCCCTTTGCCCAGCCCTGTTTCTTGTTTACTATGAGCAATAATGAGCTTCTCCACCCCAGCATGAGGACAGGCTCACAGCCAGCACATGAAAAAGGCTGAGCTCGTGTGTGGCAATTACTCTATTTCATGGGCAGATCACACAACTCTTTTTTTCCTTCTTCTGTGATACAACTACACTAATGATTTTTTTTTAAGTAGGAAGAAGGCAGCACTATGGCCTTCAGGGAATAAAAGTCACACAGCAGGAGAACTGCAACAGACATCATAAAAGGAGCTCACAATGAAATGTCCACCCACCCTTGTCATTGGACCAAATGATTTTCCAGGAGCGAAAGGATCATTCTAATTTAGGAGATCTTAATAAACAAATAGAATCACTGTCTTCATTATCTTCTTCCAGGCAAATGAAACTTTAAAAACTCAGCTCTTCCTGTTACCATTAGTTATTTTTCATAGTCAGAAGATTCTGAAAGATCATAAAAATAAGATTAGGCCACCAAAGAATGTGGGTGCTCCCTAGCATTCTCTCTGGTGTGTAGTTCAGTTTTTGTCCTTGTTGGGTGTGGGCTCTGGAATCGGCCCTTGATTTAAATCCAGAGCCCTGTCCCTTACTCACTAATGACCACTGGCAACTAACTCAACGTCACCCCCAAATCTCTGCTTCTTCATCTGTAAACGTGTACAGAGTAACCCCATCTTCCAGGGGGTTATTATGAGAATTAGAGAAGACGTGTGTAAGCGAGGAGCATACTTTCAGGCATGTGGGTAACTGTATTAAAATGATAGACTTGATCTTGGGAACCACATGTGACTTATTTTTTTTAATGGAGAGAGATTATTTCTATGAATTCTTAGCAAAGACTAAATAGATGTTTTAATCACAAAATCATGGCCATCTTCTGAGCCTTCACCACTAGACCCATTGGGCTGTGTTATGCCTTATAAAAGATTTGTAAGGAGTAGGAGAGTTGGTTTTTTGCTCAGGAATAGCTTAATGTCAGCCCCGGAGAACAGTAAGATCACTCTGAGTCTACGACCCAACACTCAACGACCCCACGCTCGTGCTCTACGCACCCAGAAAACCCATCTTGAATGAAATCCAAACACTCTCTTGCTTAAATCTCATAACTGATCTCCTTGCACCCATCCTTGATCCCTACAGCCAATTCAAGGAGCACCAGGGAGCTCTCTAGAATGTAAGGTATTCAATACGTCACATCATCTCAAAACTTGCTGATGGCTCCCTATCTTGCACTGAAGGAAATCCGAAGTCCTCACTCCAAAGCTCTTCATGGTCTGGGCTCCAGTTACATTTCTGATCACATCTCTTACCACGCTCTCCAGGTCTCTCCAGTCATACGAGTCTCCTCAAACACACCAAACATGCTCTTTCTCTCTGGAATATTCTTCCCCATGAGCCCATAGGGCTTTCTCCTTTACTTCGTTCTGTCTTTTGCTCAAATCTCACATAATCAGAGAAAGCGTCCCCGACCACTCTTTTCAGTCGCCCCACCCTGCTGCTCTGTGACCCCTTACTCTGCTTTATTTTTCTTCACAGAGCCTTCAAGACTCAATATAAGCGGGTTAATGTAATGAGCTCTAGTCCCCACCACTACAGCTGGTCTCAAGGCCATAACTGATGCCTACCAACTTCATCTTCTACCACTCATTGTAGATTTCCCTCACTCTTTGCCAGCACCTCAGCTGGTCTAGGTTGCTTTCTAGGTGGAGTGACTTAGATCTGTAACCCCAAGGGGTCTGAATTTCTTTAGTCCTTTTGGACTGAGGTTGCTACAGTTCCCATTTATAGTTACCGGGCAAGTTACCTCACCAAGAGGTGACCCACTGAATCCCTGAGTCCTAGACATACTCCCTTCTGCCCTGCTACCTTCATTGTGTAGTGGCAACTCTAGTTCCTCAGAGTAATCAGGGTCAATTTCCCTTAATAAAAATTGCACAAATGGGTCACTAAGAATGATGATGAAAGGGACCAATCCTATTTCCACCCACTGATTCCTGGACCCACATACTCTTCCTATTAGAGAATCAGTACTGTTGGTTCTGTGTGTATACTGCACGTTGGAGGCTACAGTCCAACCCCATAGAGTGTTATGCCCAAACTAGTACCGTGAGACTTTAATAGGCAAGTCCATTATTCTACTAGGCTGGCTACCCCTTGGGGATGAAGTACATTGTAAGACTAATAAACCTCATTGTCATATGCCCATTGGCACACTCCCCCTTACCATTAAATGGGTCCCATTACCCTGAGGTAATGTTGTATGGGATCCCATATCAGTAGAAAAGGCATTCTATAACTCCTCAGATATTGGTTTTGGCAACAGCACTGAGGTCAAGGAAGGCAAAGCCATATCCTAAGTAGGTGTCAACTCCAGTAATGGAATTAGGTCTGATGTAATCAACGTGCCACCTAGTAACTGGCTAGTCTCCTTAAGGATGGTGCCTTATCAGGCCAGTCTGCACCGCTGGCAGGATGGATATTCAGCCATGGCAGGCACTATATCAGCCTTGGCAAAAGGGAGTTGACACTTCTGTGTCCAAACCTAGTCTCTACCCCATCACCATGGTCATGGCATTCGTGAACCCATTGCGCAAGTACTGGAGTGGCCGTGGAGAGAGGCTCACTGACATCCAGGAGACAGGTCATCCTCTCTACTTGGTTGTTGACCCTATTGATTCACTGTGGAGGATACTCATGGCATTGACATGAGAGTCAATAATCCTTACTCTTAATGCCTTCCCTCATAAATCCATCCACATACCTCTTCCTCAAACTTCCTTATATATGCCCTGTAAATATGGATATTATCAAGCTGGTCATCACTGAAGGCCATTTAGAATGTGTCTCAGCATTGTCTACATAAGGGGCAGGTGAGAGCAGCTCCACCCACCAGTTTCCATCCCCATTAGTCAAGGGTTGCTCCAAAGGGTGTTAATCCCTCTGAATGTCTAGGTTTGCATATGTGTGAGTGCTAAGCAGATTCCTGAAGATACCCTGTTAGGTTATCAGAGAAGCTCAGGTGAGAGAGTGTAACAGATTCAGGGTCCAGCTGAGATAAGATCCCTGTCTGGTTATTCCAGGGCACAGCTGGTTGGTGCAGCAAAATTTGGAGTAAAAAGTGGGCAGAGGGCTTCCCTGGTGGCGCAGTGGTTGAGAGTCCGCCTGCCGACGCAGGGGACACAGGTTCGTGCCCCGGTCCGGGAAGATCCCATGTGCCGCGGAGCGGCTGGGCCCGTGAGCCATGGCCGCTGAGCCTGCGCATCCGGAGCCTGTGCTCCGCAACGGGAGAGGCCGCAACAGTGAGAGGCCCGCGTACCGCAAAAAAAAAAAAAAAAAAATGGTGGGCTGAAAGGATATGAGATGAAGCCTAAGAGGTGTCTGATATACCCTCAAAGCCTGGGGAGGCAGGCATGATTGTAAGAAAGTGTTAATTATGTATTTCAGACAATTAGATAATAGGATATTAAGACATACGTGCTAATTTTATAGTTCTGCCAACAAAGGCAAAAGTTGTTGGCAGAAGAAGCGATGTGGACTCAAGTTGGAAGAAAAAGAGTTAGAGCCTTGAGGCATGGCTGGCGGGGAGGCTGAGAGTTCTGGGTAAAGAGTCCCCCATGTTAACAGAGACGAATTGAGAATTCCCTGGAGAAGAGCAGGAATCAAACACAGGAAGGAGACATCCAGACAGCTGAGAGTACAGGGTTTCTCTTGGTTCAGATAGATTTTCTGTCCTGTTGCCTCCTATAAGATAGACTGCCGTCTTTTTTGTGATGTAGTATAGCATGTGGTTAAATAAACACTCTTTGGAGGGAGACAGATCTGCTTTGAATCCTAGCTCTACTGCTTGGGCAAGTTTCTTAACCTCCTCAATCTTCAGTTTCCTAATTTGTCAAAGAGAGGTAACAGTGGAGCCTACTTCATAGATTTATAATGAGGATTGAATTAATTAATTTGCGTAAAACACTTAAAACGGTGCCTGGCTCATTATAAGCCTTAATAAATAATAGTTACCATTATTATTATTAGGGAGAGTGTAGACGGTGGCTTTAACAGCCAAAGGAAACCTAACTAGGACAGAATAATGAGAATAGGGAGCACTGAGCAGTCAGGAGAAAATAGATAAACCCTATTTCTATGCAAAAATTTCAGTCACGTCTTCTGCAAAAAGTGCTCTGAGATGTTGGAAGCATCTCAGACATATTCACTCAGCAGAAATTCTTTTTAGCCTTAGAGCAAAGAAAACTAATGAAACACTAGTGACCATGTTGACATTATCAGAAAAAGCAGTGGCAAAAAAACCTGTTGGTAGGCTCATCCCCTTTTGGAATCTACAGCGCATATGGGTAGCCTGGGCCTTTCTCATTTCTCCAGTGTATGGCTGGATTAGCCAGGCAAACTCAATCTGCCTCCACATCAGAGGAAGAATATTTCCATGCAGAAAGGGCTACAGCTGTCACTGACGACCCCCATGCATCCTGGGAATAGAATAGTTTGATGCAGCCAGGTTTTGGGGGGAAAAAGACTTCTCTTCCTACCTGAGCTGCCTACCAGGCTTCTTTTCTACTGCTCATGCTTTGTATGAACAGAACAATGTGTTGAAGATTCCAGGCCCTGGATAGAGAATAGGAAGCACTGAGCAGTAGAAAAAGACTTGAAAGACTATCAAAGCATTTGGACTTTGGTTTGACAAGTTAACCAAAATACCATGACGAGTTTCCTTTTTGGTCTCTACCTTCAAGTTGCACTCTCTCCAATGCTAAAGTTCTTTGTGAATCTGCCTTGGCAATTAGTGTAGAGACATAAATGGCCTCCGGCGATCATTAGCTCCTTAATCGTCATCTCCCTTCCCTTTATTCTCCAGCAGATCCTGACCCACTTCATTTCTGTGTTATAAAAAGCTTCCATTATTTCCTAAGTTCACAAAGGCCCTTCTTTAAATCTTTTTCTTTTACTGTGAAAGTAATACTTGCTTATTAGAAAAAAATATATCAGATTAGAATGGTACAAAGTGTAAAGTAAAATTTCTCTCCCCACTCTACCAAGAACCACCCTCGTTCCACTCCCTAGAAGTTCACCATTGACAACAGCAAATTGTGTATACTTCAGGACAGTCCCCTTTTTGCAAAGAGGATTGTACCCCCATCACACACAGAAATATGTGCTCTCGTGCAACTTACGTTTTTTCACGGAACAACATTGAGAATATCTTTTCGTGTCCACATGGATCTACTTCATTCTTTTTAATGTGTAGTGTATTCGATTGTGTGCTTTTACCATAAATTATCTAATCGATCTCCTATTAATTAAGATGTTTCCAGTTTTTCGCCATTACAGACCATGGTGATATGAACAGCATTATATGTATTGGCATATATCATTGTGTACTTGTGAAAGTGCGTCTCTAGGATAAATTCCCAGAAGACGATTTTGCTGAATCTGATGGTTGTGTACACTTAGTATTTGGACAGATATGGCTAAATTTCTCTTGTAATAGTTTAAACCAATTTACACTCCTATTAGCAGCATATGAGAGTGCCTATCATTCCACTCCCTCCAAAGGGCCCAGCGTCTCCTGAGGAAGCAGCCTGGGCTTTGAAATCAGGCAGACCACTTTCTGAGTTTGGTTCTGCCATTCACCAGCTGTGAGACCTCTTTTAAGTCACTAGGCCCTAGGGACCTCAGTTTTATCACCTATAAAATGGAAAAAAATGTCTTCTGGGTAGGTCTGCTGTGATAATTCAGTAAAATAACGCAGGTGAAGAACCTAGTACAGTGCCTGCCAGACAGCAGCCATTCAGCGTGAGCCACTTCCCTGAACTGCAATTCCTAACAGGCCAGTCTTGTTCACACCTGCTTCCCATTGCTGTGTCTCCTCTTCCTGGGGGGGCCCTTTCTGATTCCTGTGGTGAAAACTGCCACAGTGGAGTAACAAGAGCCACATATGCTGGGGTTTGAGAATCACTTTCTTTTTCTTATTTCATCTATGTTTTCCATGCGTGTTGTCAGAGAGATGATGACACTTCTTTGGGGCTTCATTTCCAGGAATTTGGGTACCTTTAGTTACCTGGTTCCAGAACTGATAAGTTAGCTGCCAGATTGCTTTTGAATCATTTTTGGGCAAACACACTAACCCTGAAAGGTTACAGAGAATTGAGTATGAAGTGACTCTCATGGGTTAGAGGGTGACTGAAGGTCCTCCTTCAGAAAAAGATTTCTGAAGAATTCCTCGCAGAGAATTATTTATAACCCTCATTTCCCCAATAACCTCATACAAAAAATACTGAGAAATAACCAGCAGCTTCTATTCATTCTCAACCTATTGAAGCTCAAGTAGTAGCAATTCAATTACTGGGTGATGCTCACAGCAACATTTTAGTATGTACATTCCCCATATCAGTTCACAGTTTCTTCCAATTTCTAAGAGCTCGTGGCCTGAGCCATTGAAGACTGGGGATTTTAGCTGATTCACTACCCAGAAGCTCGGACCCACGTTGATGATTTGATTTTATTATTAAGATCCGGAAGAGCCATTAGAGAGGACCAGCCCAACTAAGTCCTTTAACTTAGATAGGAAAGTGTTGTGCCCAGTGAAGAGGCAAGGAAAACAGACCCATTCAAAGGCACTCCCTTCTTCATGAGATGTCCATTCTTCACAGATCTTCCCCAGTTTCTGGAGAGAATTCAGCCCATAAAACTTGGATGGCTTCATGCTATAGAGAATGAGATGTGTTGCTCTCTGCAGCAAGGCTACCCGAGACCTGCACAGTGAAAAAGATCTGTGTGAGCTTTGACTGCAAGGAGATTTTACTTTTAGCATGAAAAGCCAATATCAGATCATTTGAATTTACTTTCCACTTCAGTTTGCCCATCTGCTCCAGGAAATCTGATTTAAATACATTTTATCCAGAAGCCTTCCACAGGCACCAAGTTACCTAGCAACTCCAAGTTTCCTTTAGTGAGTTGTTTCCAACATAAAGAGTGTTCACAACTTGGGGAGGATGTGTTTTTAGCCTTCAAAGTTTATGAAGCAAGAATTAAATATTGAAACTGCCATTCTCACACTGCATGAATGTAGACTATTTAAATTACATAGCCTTGGGGGCTGTATTTCTAAAGAGAAATTTTTAATTAACCTACATGACCATAAACATGAATGAAATAGTCCTGTTTAATTTGCAGTAACCAATCCAAGTGCAGCGTCACTCAGCTCTAATTTAGGATCTTTAACAAAATCTAAATTGGTGCTCTGCATTCTATGCCTGCTCTGGTATGTCAAAAAGATTTAGTTTTTCTGGACCTTGGCAAATATATACCTTGTCTCCATTATGAGGATATGGGCTCAGACCTCTAGGTCAAGATGGTGGGTTGAGCACATGCAGAAATATCACTCTTCTCCAAACACATAGAAATGATAGTATAATGATTATGTATCAATATATGTGTTTGTATATGTATATATATATGCATATACACACACACATATATATTCCAACTCACCCTACAATTTCACTTTTTCTCTGGAAGAATTTCCTAGCGTAGTACCTACCACAACAGGTACACCAGTGGTTCTCAACTGGGACACTTTTGACCCCAGGAGACATTTGGCAACATCTAGAGGCATTTTTGGTTATCACAACATGGGGGCAGGTGCTACTGACATCTAGAAGGTAGAGGCCAAGGATGCCACTAAACAACCTTCAATGCACCAGACAAAGGATGATCTGGCCCCAAAATGTCAATAGTGCCGAGGTTGAAAACCCCTGAGGTACACAGTGTAGCTTTAATAATATATGTATTGAAAAATACTTTTATAAACCTTTCCTGGGTAACTTAATAGGGTATCACTTACACATAACCATTTGCAACCATTTGCCCAACTTGCGTCAACCTCTCATATGCCTACAGAATGAAGTTCAGACTCTGGCGCTATGGATGTTCAAGTCCCTTCCCTCGTTCCTGCTCTCACCAGCTACGCCTTTCTTCACTTACTGCTGTGTGTGTTACACTGCACTACCTTAAACTTCCCACGGTACCCTGAAATGCCATATACCCTTTCATATTTTTGTGTGGACTCTTCTCTGCCTGTAGTTATTTTTTAAATATCTTTTTTTCTTTTGGCCACTCCACACGGCTTGTAGGATCTTAGT